TTTTTTTTTTTTTTTTTTTTTTAAATTTGAAATAATTAAGAAGAATTCTCATTTGGGGAAATTTTGGCTGTACTTTGCTACGTCTCTGTTGGGTCTCTTCTGCTAGAAATGTTTAGATTTATTTTTGTTTGTGTTCTGTCTTACGCAGCTAAGAAAACAGTTTCAAATAGGACAAATTGTCTTGTTCCAGGGAGGAGGTCTGATCTGGAGAGTGAAAACAGCTTGCTACTTGGAGAGCCGTCCACAAAAGAACAAAGCTCTAAGGATTTACTGTGCCCCACAAGAGATGATATAGAGCCAAGATGTTGGCCTCGGGAAGCATTGCTATGTGAGACAGTCTCCTTGTTAAGTGGCTTTTTTTCCTAGGATTTATGTGCCCCAGTGCCTGGTCCTCTGGGTGCTGCTCCTTTGGGTATGATGGGCAGGGAGACAAGTGCCTGGGGTATTTCCTTCTCCTGCTTGGAAGAAAAGGCAATCATGTCAGTTCACTTCACAGGGATGCTGGTGCACCTTTCTGATAGGCTTTAATACTGGTGCTGTAGGAAAAAGTTGAGTCTATTTTAATCAGGTGTGCGTCTCTCCCATATTTGTGTTTTGCGTGTCACTGGCAACATGAAAGGAAGAAATGCTCGTGAAAGAGCCAATGTTCCTGCACAACATTAGTGGAAAATCAGTTCTGGATGCACAGAAGTGTGAGTTTCTTGTGGCAGTTGGATGGAGAGTTACATTCGGATGCTTAGAAAAGTGAGATGACATCATATGATCTGTACATCTTGTGAAAATGAATCAGCGCTACTATTATTAAAACATCTCCACTTGTAATGGCTGCTTTGGCAGACTGGTCGTAATGAAGAACTTTAAACTTGGTGTAGGATATAAATCCTGGTAGGAAGGAACTCTAAAAGCAACAGGAATTTTGCTGCTTGAAAACCAGACTCGGTTTAGTCCAATTTCTAGCCAAAGAACCAAAGCGTGCATTCTACACTTCTAGGTTCTCAATCAAAAGGTCATCGTTTCATCATCAAGAGGTCCAGACTCACCACATCATCAGTCGGTTTTCCAGAAAAAGTCACTCTTGTCCAAAGGACAACTGGAAATGCCTAAATGAGATGATAAAAGTGGTAAGTGTGACCTGAGCCAAGAACCATTTTGCTGTCCAGGCTTAAAAAAAATATTTGCATTAAGAAAGAAATGTTAGGAAATGGCAGTCTTTTGATAGACAACTCACGAGACTAAATTTGTGCAACTCTGTAGAAAGAGGAGCTTGTGGAAATTATTCTTACATTTACACCTAAGGCAATCACCCTGGCTTTATTACTACATCTCAGGCTGCAAGCCTGAGTCTGATTTATTAACTACTGTCCGTTTTGGTTTCTTATCCAGGGTGGTAAACCAGCTGTAGAAAGCTGAAAAGAAGTTGAGCTGCATGTCCTGTCTTTTCAGCCGGCTTCTTGCGTTCATTTTGGTCTATAAACAAACATCTCTCAGGTCTCCTAAATAGATTTTCTGATTGAGTTCCCAGAACAGACCACCACCAGTCTCATTAAAGCTTATTTATGCTACTTTCATGCATGAATAAAAAAGCTCCCATTCACTGCTGATTTTATTTAGTTAGATCCTGTGCCTTGCGGTGGACATTGAATTGGAGTGACATTTCTGGCACAAAAAAAAAAAGAAAAAAAAATAGTGGGACTGTGAAGAACAGTTTGATGCCTGCATCTTTTACAGTATGGAAAGGAAAGGGTTAACCTGTTCTTGGCTGTATGGTATTGATTGAGGCCCACACAAAGAAAATACAGCTGTAAATAGTTAGGAGTATTCCCTCGTAGCTGTGTTGGTTTTTTTTTTTTTTTTGGGTAAGTCATTGAACTGGGACTCTGGAGGTACAATCTGTTTCCCAGGGATGCCACCCGCTTCCTGCGTGATAGGAGGAGGAAGGTCACTAGTTGCTCTAGGTCTCAGCTCCCCAGCTGAGAGCGATGCTTTCTCCCTCCTCTGCTTTTTCCAACTTGCTTGTTTATATTGCTAGCTTTTCAGCAGAGTAACATCTACTCTGCCTGTGTGCTGATCACGATGGGCCCTGCTCTCAGCTGGGGCCTCTAGACACCTCTACGAATAACAAATATGATTTTCCCTTTATGCTTGTCTCCTTCATCTCCATCCATGCTGCAGTGCCTGTGAGGTAAGATTAACAGCTAAAAATAAAAACCAAAAGAAATCAGTAAAGGTGAAGAACAAGGGAGTAAAGATCCAGCAGGTGTGAAAAGTCGTGAAATGGGTTTGTTTTTCTCCAGCCCTGCTGGCTGACAATCTCATGCAAAGGTACCGCATTTTGGAAAGAGAAGGATTTGAGCCTGTCCTTTAAGTCAAAAGGGTGAACAAAAAGCAGCCTTGTGTGTTTCCTTTGTGCTAAGCACATTGTGAATATTCTTAAGCATTGCCACAAGGATTAACATCTCTGCATTTTAATGTGCCTGGTGCTGGAATGTAGCTGGAAAGCAGAGCAGGCAGGAATGGTGTCTCCAGGCGGTGGGCTCTGCTAGGTGTCTCTTTGAAGTGCTATTCAATAGCTTTCTGTTACTCTTTCTCCCCCCCCCCGCGCCTTCCCCCCCTCTCTCCCCTTCAACAGCTTCTGGAACAAATCCTGACAGATTTCACATTTCTGAGATTTACTGGACTGGACTGTTTTATCTTCAAATACTTTTGCATGGCAGTAGTATAAAAAAACCCAACATGTGGACAGAAGTACGGAGTTTGGTATTTACTTTGGATCATTAACCTGGTCTGTAAATTATTTGATTTGATCTCTCCTTTTTTTGTTCCTCCCCCCCTCTTTGTGTAATTTCAGAGCCTGCAAAGAGACGCTGTCTTCTGCTGCTTCGGGATCCCTGCAAGAAATGGGAGTCTGATGGATTGTAAATGCACCTGCTCTGTTTAAAACCCAGCCAAACAGATAAGTGCCCTTTTAATTATCTCACAACAGCGTTTTAGACATAGCTGTGCGCAACATCTCTCTTCAGTTCGGTTTCAACTCGGTGAGCCCTCTGTGGTTTCACCATTGCAAAGGAATGCTCTGTGGTTCTCCTTTCGGCTGAGAAATACCAGATGATATCGGTATTTCACGTGAGCTAATTAATTAGCGTCTGAGGGAACTGCAGCTGACGGCTCGGGGAGCTCCTGGGGGTCTTCCTCTGCCCCTCCGGAGCTGCTGTCTCCAGCAGCCCTGTGAGGTTTTGGGACTCTGAGGAGCAGCTCTGCGGGACCAGACGTGGCTGATGTGACCCATCTGAGCCTTAAGGAGTCCTCCGGGACTCATTAGAGGTTTAATAACTAGACTTGGCTGGTTTGATTGAGAAGATGCTTGTGCAGGCTTGGCACGATCTCAGAGAAACCAGCTAACGTTGCTGGCAGGAGAGAGGGCTTTCTGCATCTGCTATTCATATGTGTGCGGAGAAAGTGATAACCCCTGCTTCTTTCTGCCGGTTTCCAGGTGGGAAAATAGCTGGGGATGGGGGAGAGAAGCCCTTAGTTATACTGAGTTTATACAGGGCATACAAAGCGGTATCGTGGGTGAGTGGTAAGAAGAATTGTCCCCTCAAAGTTATGGAGACGTTTATATCTACGGATGGAAAATACAGTCTATCAAGAAAATAATTTCTGGCTGCTTAGATCTGCTTCTATGACTGCTCTTGGGCACACCACTGCAATTATTAAACAATTTAAGAAATCCAGAAAATATGGTCTCACGTACAGTGGAACTTTGCAAAAGTATACAGCCATGGGACTGGGCAAATATTCACTATACCTGCAATTTACTGCGTTAGAATAACGAAAAAACCACTAAAGCCGAGTGTGTGAGCGTTGGAGGGGATGTGTGGCAGGAGGAGGGACAGGAGCCAAATGATCTGCTCCAAACCTGTGTTGTCTGCTCTACCGGGGTTCATTAGCAGCGTAAAATGTCTACCTTGCTGTTAGGAAAACTACAAACAGGTTTGCTACAGCAAATTAGACTGCAGTAACTGATGTGAATTGGTCTTACCTACCTAAGCAGAGGTGAGTTTCTTGGTGAAGGTGCCAGCCTGGGACTGAGAGAGAGACTGGAGAGACAAGACGGTGAAGGAGGAGGTTACTGCGGTGCGAGGGAACTGGATCTAGATCAACTTGTGTAATCCCTGGAGTGTCTGAAGTTCCCTCTTTTCTAGGAAAAACTTCACTCCTGCTGTTATTACCAAGAAAGTTTTTATATTAATAGAAGAAATGACGTGTCTGATATTAATGACTATGCTCTGTCTTACAATTGTAAACAGTACTTACTCCTGACTCTTCAGTACTCTGATAGCAAAAGGGCTTGACAGTATATTAAGAAACACTGATAAAATGAAGCCCTAGTGAGAAAATCCGGGTTTGTTCATTCAGCAAGGATGGATAAGAAGTTAAAAAAGCTTAAATCACCTGTGTACCCCAACTAACAGAGCTCTTTGCGCCTCAAAAAAAAAAAAAAAAAAAAAAAATTTTTTAACCTCAGATATCCTCAAGGTCTTGATTATTAGGTTTGCAGCTTGAAATCTGCTTTCTGCCAGAGTGCTGATATCAGTGTTCCCCCAAATTAGGTCCCGTTAAATTAACCCTAACCTGGCCAGTTCCAGTCTGGGCATCAAAGTTGAATTTGGAAATCCTGTCCTGAAGTGTGGCATGCAACTTGTAAGGCTCTGTGCTCCTTGGCAGAAGAGGCAGAAAACATTTTCAGTCCCTCTCAGGAGCTGTACTGATGTGAGAAATGATACCGAGTGTGTTGTATGCACCTGTGCTTTGGTTGGTGCATCCAGCAGCTGAGGAGAACAGGTTCAACAGATCTTGACAGGTTTCTGTGAAAAATCTTGTCCAGAAAAGAAGAACCCCGAATCTCTAACTCTTTCCTCGTCTTACAGGTGAGCCTTGAGGACACTTGGGAGACCGTACCTCCTGAATGCATGACCTGCCCCTGGGCTTAGAAGAAAGCCATGGGGAAAGACAAGAAAGAAGAGGAGGCCATCTTTCTGAGGAAAAAGATAACTTTGCTGCGGGCTTTCTCGCTCCTCATTGGCAGCATGGTTGGCAGTGGCATCTTTATCTCCCCAAAAGGAGTACTGAAAAACTCTGGCAGCGTGGGTTTCTCCCTGGTTGTCTGGTTTGCCTGTGGGCTCCTCTCAATGTTTGGTGAGTGGTGAGCTTTCTCAGCCTTTGCTTAAGCTCCTGGGAGGTGAGGGGATCCAGCACATTTTTATGTATAAAAAGTTGGGAGAAGAATAAACCAAAAATTCCCTCTTCCTACTGCAAAAGAAACAAAGGTTTAACAAGCTGGGGGGGGGTCTCCAGGGGTCTTTAGTTCAAATGATTCCCCCGGGGTGATTGAATATGGTCTGTGAATATGAAATCATGTGCAAGTCCAGGGCAGAGGAGTGACAATGACTGCAGATGGAGATAGCATGGTCTCTGCCAGGAAAGCTGGGAGAAAATGGGGGGACTCATTCTGTAAGGTGGAAGGGAGATGCAGGCGTCTAAAAGGCACTTGTGAGCCCGAGGGCTGTGCAGTGCTTTTCATAGACACTGTGAAAAGGGCAAGAAGCGACAGTCTTAATACGCCACGAGGGATCCCCTTTCTGTCAGTGAGGGTAGAGAAGCACTAGAGCAGACTGCCCAGGGAGCTGCAAGCATCCCCCAGCCAGGGGTGGGTGGCTAGGTGTCTGTCAGAAATGGTTTGGGTATGTCTGATGCTGCCTCGGAGCAGGAGAAGGAGCAGATCAGTTCAGCCCTGCTTTCTGTGCGTTACCCTTGGCTCGGTTTCTGGCACTTAATACCAGTCTTTTCTCACAAAGGGTTGACTTTTTGATGACGGTTTCATTCTAGTTCTTCTGAAATAATGTAGCTCTTAAAGTTACGATGGATAAAACGTATGGCTTTTAGTTTCCTTCATTAACTGTATAAAATCACACCTCAGAAACGCTCTAAAGGTGCTGTTAGGAGAACTGCAAGATCTCTCAGCTCTGGGGAGAAATCTGATGTTTATTTCAGTGGGTGACTTTAAAGTTGTTCTTCTGTCATAACTTAGAAAAAAAAAACAAGAAAGGAGAAATACTCCATGTGGAAAAAAGCACTTTGGCACTGTGACATGTACACGCAAGTTTAGAAATCGAGACATTCAATTGTTAATATGGCAACAACTGTGGTTCTTGCTCTTAGCATATGCGTACCAATATTTCATGTGGCAGACCGTGTGTGGTTGTTTGGCGAATGATATACTTTTGCTTAAAAAAAATCTTAAGATATAATGTGAGCACAAGTGTTTCTTTTAACTGAGCAGAGCAATAAATGATAACGTATGTGCTGATCACATAGCCCAAGCTCTGCACTTGGAAAGGTTTCTCTCTCCATTGCATCCTTTGATAGAGTCTGCTAGAAGGGCCTTGGGAGCCTCTTTATCAAGTTATTGTATTTTGTAGACAAATTTGTTGGTTTGTTCTTCCCTTTTATCAGCTTGATGACCTCCCCTGATCATTTCTCTGACACTTTTTTTGCAGTACATTAAAAAGGACTGCTTTCTTTTATGCTTTTTTCTTTCAAGTATGGCATTTATACGAGTCCCATAGCATGAGTTCAGAAAAGCACTAAAATGCATGCTTGAAGCATGTAAAGAGACTCACTGGAATAAATGAGATGAGGTGTCTGCCTATATTCGACACTTTGAACAGGGATTGTGCACAAATTTGCCAACAGAGAGGCAGGAAAAATTGAGGTCCTCACCATCAGCATGACCTGAATACGGCATGATCACCACGGGACTTGGAGGCATGGCCATATCACCACTGGGTTCTTCTGCGCTTTCCCTCCACAGCCACCTGAGCTGGGCAAAGAAGTAGCTAGCACAGGTAGAGATGGTCTTACCCCACAGGGTCACATCCCAGCAGCGCTCAGTCCCATCTCAAGGAGAGTTGTGCTCAAAGAAGTGAAGTGTTTTATGATTTCTTTTGGAAAACAAAGGATGTTTAACCTAGCAAGCGAATGCAGCATAGGCAGGGCTTAAGATTCGTACTTAGACATGTTCAAATGGCATGATGAATTGCTCTTTAGAGAAAACACAGATGGGATTTTTTTTGGCACAGGTGGAGGCATAAACGTTTCTGTCCATTTGCCTGAAAGCTTTAAGCTGTCTTCTCTGGTGCACCCCTCCCAGGGTTTCTCGTTGCGCTCCGGCGCCGGGGCAGGGAGGCGCGGAGGTGCTTGCCAAGGCAGGAGCAGGCAGTCCCCAGCTCTGCCGCCGCGCTCGTGCGCGAACACGTGAGAAGAGATGAACTGAGCCTCTCGTGCGGATGCTCCCCTTCCTCCGCACCATCGGTGCCATGTTTTCCTCCAGTGGCAGGTCTTCCCTCTCAGAGGAGATGCCCTTCCAGGTCCTCTGTCTGGTGTCTTCGAATGAAGGAAGGGGTTTATGTGAAGATGCAAGATAAGGACACAGGAATGTGGTCTGTGATCAAAAACGTGATTGAAATGACCAGTTCAGCCACGGCCTGTCGGCTGAGCTGCTGTAACTGCCTTGTAACCACTGTTTCGCCAGTCTGACTGCGAGGAGAAGCAAGAATCCAAACCTCCAGGACGTTTTTCAAAGGAAACCTCTTGTAGCTTAGTGCAACGTTTCTATCACACACCTTTCCGCATAACTTCCGTGGAAAAGTTGTATCATTAACCAGAAAGTTTCCTTCAGACAGAAAATTACTTCAAAATTTACTTCAAAATACTGTAGCACACAAAAATAGGGAAGAGTGGTTCTGCTAAACCCCTTTTTCTTCCTCTGATTCACTACTGATTTTAAACAGATTCATTCAATTCCTGAAAAGTCACACAGAAAAGAGAAAATCCATGGGATGATTTACTCAGTGCATTTCTACCTGAACTTTTCCAGGTGCCTTGTGTTATGCAGAGCTTGGAACAAGAATCACCAAGTCTGGAGGACATTATATCTACATTTTGGAGACACTAGGGCCTCTGCCAAGTTTCTTATTCCTGTGGGCAGAGTTTTTTGCTATCAGGTAAGAGATTTTTTTTGTTTGCGTTTTGCTGGATTTAAAAAATCAAAAGTTACGGGGCCAGGTAACAGTCTGGGCAGTTTGTAAAGGAAAGAGTAGAAACAATCTGAACAACTTTTAAAGCTTTTCAGTGACAAAAGGAAGAAGGCATAATCAGTAAATAGTTACACATGTTCAACGTGATCTGTACTTGAAGAATATCTCTCTTCTCCCCTGGCAGTATCCTCCAAGAGCCATGGTATTTTTCAGAGACTGACAATAGATGCCAGATTTTTTTCAGATCTTCTGCTTTCATTGTGAAACTTTTTTGGATTCTCCTGTGGACACAACTTTCTGGCTTAGCCCTGAGTTAAATAATATTTTAGAAAATTATAAATGACTTCTTTTTTAACCTTAAAAAGAAAGTCCTCGTCTTTCAATAACCTGTGTCCTTCATGTAAGCTGAGATGAAGCAGGACATATGAACCGCACTGCATTGCTCAGTACGATTAATCTCAACTTTTGCTTTCAAGTTGGGAATTAATCTTTTTGCAGCATATGATTTTTAACCCATTTACTGAGAAAAACCTATGAAAAAGACTCTATGGGAATTCCCCATCTGTATGGGAGAGCAGGATTAAGCTGGGTGGGGAACCTCCCCCTCCCCCCCCCCTCCGAGTTTTGTGCAGTTTTACATCACGCCATTTTCTGGCCATCCGCAGACCAGTTTGTGCTCGGTTCCCCCCCCAGGCCTGCCAACAGCGCTGTGGTTTCTTTGGCATTTGGACGCTACATGCTGGAGCCGTTTTTTGCCCCCTGCGCAGCCCCTGTCCCTGCTGTGAAGCTGGTGTCTCTCCTGGGGTACTGTAAGTACTAACTTTTACAGGACTGCCGACCGCGGAGCCTCTCTGCCCTGGACCAGGGGCACTTAGGAGGTGTTATCTTCTGGGATAACTGTGGGATCAGGGCCCCATCTTACTCCTTGGCCACCCAAAACTTCCCGATCCAAGGGGCTGGTTTGGGGCCACTATATTCTCCAAGAAGGGGAATGGGCTTCCCTGTTGACCACCTGGAGCCCTAGGTCGGGGGGATTGTGCCAAGTACGGGAGTAGAAACTCTTCATGTATAATTGTGCAAATGCCACATTGAGGTTGAGGATGTCAGGCTCAAGGTTTTGGACTTCTCGCCTGGTGCACCCAGCCTGTGAAGCTGTCCTGCCTGCTCCAGGCTGGTGTGTGCTGGCACAGGGACCGCTGTGAAGGGGGCTGCTGAGACGTCCCTGCAAACTCACACCTTCCCCCCAGGCAGGCGTGGATCACCCCCACAGGAACCCGGGGGAGCATAACTCAGCTCCCCCTTCAAACGCTATACACTGGGCCACACCTGTAATGTTTTCTGACATCTCTCACCCTGAGCATCCTCTCTGTAAAGACGCAGCCTTCTCCCCGGCATCCCCAGAGCAGGGAGTGCTGCTGTATTTTTTCCTGGGTGCGTTGAGCATGGGCTATAGCTCTAGCAGTGTGGTCTCCTCTCCAGACATGGTCCTCACCCTCAATTCCTGGAGCGTCACCTGGAGTGCCCGGCTGCAGACGGTTCTCTCCATCATCAAACTCCTGGCTCTTGCACTCATCATCGTGCCGGGTATGATGCTGCTGGCCCAGGGTAGGTGTGCTGCTGCGTGGCTGAGGGAGGGTGCTTGACAGGCCCGCCTGTCACGGCTTTATTGGTCCCTAGTGACAAGTGTGGTACTCCTTTAGCTGGCAGGAGCTTTCTCTGCCTGTGTGCTGGATGTGAATTAGCTGGGAGCTGAGACCAGGGTAGCTGGCACTAAGCTGCATCATTGCGCTGGGCTGGTGCACCTGGCTCAGCTGTGCTTTCTCCAAAACTGAGCGAGTCTCAGTGCCTGAGGCTGTGTGAGCCTACCCAGGGTCATACAGGCACCTTCCTCTGCGGACGGTCTTTCTTTGGTGTCAGGCTTGCTTGTTTTCAGCATGGCTCGAAATCCTTCCAAAGCAGCACAGATTTGACGGACGTCAGGGATGTGTGACAGCATCCCGTGGTGACCCGAGCCAGTCAGAGCTGTGTAGTGAGTTATCAGCCCTCAGCTGAGCCCTGGTAACTGCATTTCTAACCTTTCTGTGCCTTAAGCTAATGTTTTTTACCTCCTAATTGAGATGGGCAGTAACTTAGTAAACTTACAATGGACTCGTGCCGGATTGCACACTCACATCCAGAGTGGGGAAAACACCCCTGCCAGTAGTTTCTCTGGGAATGATACAAGAATATTGGCTTTAATCCAAGCCTCAGTTTATGGAAAAGCCCAAGGCATTCCCACTCAAGGGATGCAGGCTGCTCCCTCTTCACGCTATTACCTTCCTCTGCAGAGAAAACAACAGAGGCAGTAGGCTCCACGTTCATGTTTCTTTCTGATGTCTGGAGCTGGTTCCTTTGAACATGCAAAGATCCCCTCGGGCTGGCAGCACTTCTGAACCGAAGGACTGCCCTGCAGCTAGAAATTCTGAGCCATTATTGTTAGGAATGCCTTCAAATGACAATCTGGAGCCCTGGCACCCGTCCTCCGGCGAGGAGGATAAGTGCTGGTGACATCTGGAGAGAGAATTCACCAAGAGATCCCAATATGACAGGTTGTATTTAATGTGACTCATGGGAGACTGTAAATCACTCATTAATGTATTGCAGACAATAAATCCCTTTTATGCACCACCACTTATCAGCAATCATTTTAGAACATAAAAAGACTACCCTGATAGACCCACTCCCATATTTTGGTTTAGTTTTCTTCAAATCTATTTTCTTTTTGACTTGTTTTTTGTGCTTAAAAAGGAGTTCTGTCCTTGTAAATTGGTTTGCCTGATCCCTCTGCCTTGTTCTACTTTTTTTGGTTGCACTCTTGTCTTTTCCTCTGCCATTACCTTCCCTTTGGCTCAGGTTCGGTTTAGAGACTTGCTGGACCAGTGTTTCAAACCCAAATGCCCAAATCTCGTCACAGAGCTCCTTGCAGAGGCACCCCTATAGAAGTGGCCTGACTTTCTCCATGTGCTCCGTGCCATTTCACCCCTTTCCTGGCAAAGCCCAACTAGGCGAGCTCCACACCTTTTACTTTTAAAGAGACTTTAATATGGAGAACTGAATATAGATGTGGAACCAAACCTTGGGCCACCCAGATTTGAAAATGTTAGAAATACAACTCCTTTGGACTGTGTGTTTTATTGGGCTTCCTTTGAATGAGAAGCCATCAGATGTTTCTCCCTTCCTAGTTTTTTTTGGAGTTTGATAAAATATGGTTCATATCCAAAACCCTGACTTCGATTTTTTTTGTTTGTTTGTTTATTTTTTTGTGGTTGTTATTTCAAGCAGAGAACTTTTAGGAAAATTGAGGGAGTTGGTAAAATGGGATCTTTATCCGAGCCACCTCTACTTTTTAAATTTTATTTACTTTGCCCTCTGTGTCCTCAGTCCCTCCTCCTGCGGGCGAGCCGCGGCGGCTGGCAGGGGCGGCGGGCAGGGAGCGTGCCCGGAGTGGGGGCCA